ATGTGGAGACTTTAAGGGTGTCTAAAATTTGGGGTGACATTATTTGTATAGGTGGGCAATCAATGAAGTTAAAGAATATGTTGGTGCAGGGGTTTCGGTGGGAGGTTGGGGATGGATGTCAGGTGGGTTTTTGGAGAGATATTTGGGTGGGGAATAAATCTTTACGAGATTTATTTCCAAGGCTTTTTCAGTTAGCTGTAAATAAAGATAGCAAGGTAAAGGAAAATGGGACATGGGAAGGGGATAGCTGACATTGGGAAATGAAGTGGCGGAGGGAGAGAATGGGTCGTGAGAAGGATGAGGAGAAGGAGTTAAGGGAGCTGTTGGGTACTGTACAGCTTAGGAAATGTGAGGCAGATTCATGGCAGTGGACATATGATGTAGGAGGTAAATATATTGTGAAGACAGCATATGATTATTTAACTCAGGTGGAGTACTTTCTTGAGGGCCAACTGTGTAAATTGGTGTGGTGCGGGATGGTGCCTTCTAAAGTGAGTTTTTTTGGGTGGAGGTTGTGTCTAGATAGGCTTCCAACAAGGTGGAATTTGCAAAAGAGAAGGATGGTATTACAAGGGGATGGCATGATGTGTGGACTACGTAAGGAAGGTGTGGAGGATGTTAATCATCTATTTTGCATTTGTAAGATAGCTTGGTTAGTGTGGGTTAAGGTGATTCAGTGGTGGGGTTTAGAGGTGGTGATGCCAAATACGATGAGGGGTGTGGTAGACTTTTTCTTATGGTGTGTGGGTCGATTGGTGGGTAAGGAGATGGGAGCATGCATTTTTCTTGTTGTTACTTGGTATTTATGGTATTGGAGGAATGTTTTGGTATTTCAGAATCATGGAGATTTTAGGGAGCAATTGTTGGAGTTAATTCAAGGCAAGTCTTATTTTTGGATTCGAAATAAGGTGGATAGGTGTGTTTTTTCTTTAGCTCAGTGGCAAAATAATCCAGTGGAATGTGCAAGGAAGTTGATTCGATACAAGAGGTCTTTAAACTTATTTAATCAGCAACAACAGAGGCTTCTGTCGATAAATCAACCTGATTCTCCTGAGGTTGAGACATTGTTTTAAATAGCAAAGCCTAAGGTTTTGTTTGATCAATGTCTACTAGGCTATAATTTTTTCTTTGGGCTGCTGTTTGTTCTTAAAGTAATTTACTATCGGTATATATGCTTTCATTTATGTGTAAAAGGGCAAGAGTACCCCTTGTGCTCCATTAAAAATAAATAAATATTTTATTTGCTGATAAAAAAAAAAGGAGTTTAAACCCTTTTTTATGATGAAATTGCTCTTCCAATAACATCTTTCATTAAATTATTATGTTTATATTCTAGTATTACATCTTTAATATATTTAGTTGCATTATTATTTAATTCATGATACTTGGTAATTAGATCAAACCCACATAATTTCTAGAGAAAGAAGAAGAAATTATGATGAATAAACACTCAAAATCAATTCAAACCATATGAGTAATGGAAACAAGGTTGAAGAGTATGAATTAATGAAGAAAGTTACCAATAGAAAAAGTAATTAAGAATAATAAGTATAATATTTTTAAAAATAATAAAAAAACAAACAAACGAGTCAATTCATCAACCCGCAGGTTGACCCTAACCCGACTCATGACTCGTACGGATTATCTACAAGTTCAAGGTTAAGATATGTAGATTCTAACCCATTTTTATGGATTGGGTTAGGGTCGGGTTAACTGGTCAAGTAGATTTTTGCCACCCCTATGAGTAGGTAAAGTGAAAAGAAATGGCAGGACATATAAAGCAAATTGATCTTATGTTGTTTTGTTTTCCAACTTGTTAATATTACCAACTCAATAAATATCTTGGGAGTTGAAAAGGCTTTTATATAGCTATACACTAAAAGCTTTTGTTGAATATTAGTGATTTTTTTTTCCAACATGCCTAGGAGGTTTGATAAGATTATTGACATTAACCCATCAAAGGAGCAATGGAGGTTGAAGGTTAAAGTTATTATAGGCTTTGGAAACTAAGAAATTTCCAATAGCCGTGTTTGGAAGAAAATGTTGAGATGGTTCTTTTGGATGAATATGTAATGGTTTATAATATTTACCCTTTTTTTTAATTTATTTTGTGCTTTTGTTCATTTATCTTCTCTTCTTCTCTCTTGTTTTTTTCATCCCCTCATTTTTATGGTTATTACACATATATAGGGTGGAAGAATTCAAGCTACTACAATTGGCTTCTCTTTGAATCAAAGATTCATTAAAGGAAGGACATGTTTACATTTTTTCCTCCTTTTGGTGTGTCTTTGAACATTGATCCTTTTAGGCCTACTACTCATGATTACAAGATTGTTTTCAGTCCTAGAACAACACTCTCTTTTGGTGCATGATTCAAACATTTTAAAATATGGGTTCTCCTTTGTAGATTATGACAAGATTTTGACTCAAACAAAAGAAAATTCTTTTTTAGTTGGTATGCTCAATTATTCTTATGATTCTTCACTTTAAAAATGTTTTTATTTTTAGTTGGCATGCTAAAATGCTATAATTTTATGTTATCTAAATTTGTAATCTCATTTCTTTAAATTTTATAGATGCAATTGGTTTGCTCTCAACAATCATTGATAGGAAAGAAACAACCAAGGATTGATTTACACTGAAAATGATTACATTTGAACTAGATGATCTTTAATGTGTATCCCAAATTAAAATTTTAAGTAATATTTTAATTTTCTTAGTTTAGTTTGTTGGATTTATAAACTTTCTTTCATCAATGGGAAGAAAATCAAGTGTACTATATGAAGAATTTGTTAAAGAAATGATATCTTCACTAAAAGAAAATTCTAATAAACAGATCATCTTTGTGATTCAATTTACAAAAATGGAGTTTTGGAAATGTATGCCTTTTTTTTATTTTTTTTATATTATTTTTAGAAAATGAAAGTTACTTTCTTAAAATAAAACTATTATTTTTATTTTTTTTAGTTGAAATGAGAATTTCTAATGCAAAGTTCAATTCTAGAATATTCATCAATAGTAATGGAATTCTTGAGATTTTGGCCCTCAAAGGAAGGTAACCTTAGTTTTGGATATAATCTCTCTTTTAAACTGAGTAATAGGATTCCATTAAGTGAAGAGTTGAGTAGTCAAAGATTGAGTCATGCAAACTCAACCACTTATTCTTGAAAGGGAGAATTCTTGATGGCTTCTATACAAAAAACTATTATTGAGGTTAAAGACTGCCAAGATGTAAATACTACCTTTCTAACAAAAATCCTATGAGTAGATGTTTGTGCAATTGAGTTTCAAAAAGAGGGGGGGTTTGCTTATGCTCACATTATGCCTTTCATGCATCCAAAAAATAAGCCAAACATTGCCAATGCAATTGATAAAATCATTTCAGCTACAATTCCTGATGAAAAGCTAGACCCCAAATTATTTGTAGTTGTTGAGCCTTATATGATATATGGACCATGTGGAAAAGCAAATCCCAAATTTCCTTGCATGAAAGATGGGCAGAATTGCTCAAAACATTTTCCTAAAAATTTTAGTTCAAGCACCAAAATAGATGAAGAAATCCTCCTTTATTATAGAATGAGAGATGATGGAAGAACAATCGAGAAAAGGGGCATTGAATTGGACAATAGATATGTCATCCCTTATAATCGGAAGCTTCTCCTAAAGGACTAAGCAAGCATAATGTTGAGTACACTTGTTAGAGTAGTGTTATTAAGTATCTTTTTAAATACATTCACAAAGAGAATGATCAAGTTACAATACTTTTTTTTCTCATTCTAATAGGGACAAGTCTAATTCTTTAGATGAAATTAAAAAATATTATTATAGTAGGTAAATAAAGTTTTATTGATGTCATTGTATTTCTTTTGTTTTAGTATTAATTAAGTATGCTTTTCAGTGTAGGTATGTATAAGCTTGTGAGGTAGCTTAGAGGATTTTTGGTTTTGAAATTCATTATAGATACCCCCAACAAAGGTTGTTGTTCCATCTTCTAGAGAAAAAAAGCATCCATTTTTAAGGACAATGATTCAATTAAGGAGGTTCTAAACAAAGATGATTCTAAGAAGTCAATGTTTGAAGCTTGGATGGAAGCAAATAGGAAATATGAGGATGAAAGGAACTTGACTTATTCTAAATTTACAACAAAATTTTTTTGTAATGAAGGCACACATGAGTGAACTAAGAGGAAAAAGGGCTTTGCTATTGAAAGAATGGTCATATACCCTATGGAGATGGCGATGATTTCTATTTGAGAATTTTATTGAACTTCTGAAAGGGCTGCAAATGTTATGAAGATATTAGGACATTTAATGGGATAAAGTATTCTAACTTTAAAAATGCATGTTACTCTTTGGGGTTGTTGGATGATGACGAAGAGTACATTGATGCTATAGCAGAAGCAAATTTATGGGGGGGATTTGCTCATTACCTTAGGCAACTTTTTGCATCTCTATTGTTTTCTAATAGTATGAGTAGACTTGAGTTCATTTAGGAGAGCTATTGAAATTATTGTCTAACGGCATTCATCATCATAAAAATAATAATAAAATAAAATAAAATAAAAAGAAAAGAAAAAAGAAAAAAAGTCAATAGCAAACAAGGTATGTCTTATATGTTCCCCTCACCCCTTTCTTTCGTAGTTATAAAGATTAAGAAAGACTGATGGTCAAGCTGCAAATATGATATTTTTTCTTGTGAAGTATGGGATGAACTCTCTATTTAGGTCCTTTTAGGGAACCTTTGAATTGTTCTATGTTTTGTTTGTGTTTTAGCTTCTGGAATACATATTCCTATTTTGAATGACTAGAAAATATTAATGAAATATTTTTTAATTTCTATTGTCTAACTTTTTCATTTTGACTGTTTTACTTTTAAATTTTTTTAATATATTTTTGCCATTATCTTAACAATTATATATCCTCACTATAAATGTGAATTACAAACCTTTATTAATTTGAATCTAGTTATGAAGAATGAGCTCTCTTTGAATTTTCTTTTGTTTTTTTTTATTATTTTAGGTCTTTCTAATTTATCACAATTCTTCAACTATTGCATGTTCTTTGGTCACTTGCATTCTATTTTTGCACATAATTGAATGTTTGTAGTATTTCTTATAAACAATAATATTTGAAATCATTTTTGATGCCTTCCATTAATTTCTTCATAATTATCTAAATTGCATTCAATATCATAGTGATGGTAAATGTTTTTTAATTTATATAATTATCAATCAATTTATGTAGACCATTAGTATTATAATTTATTACTCACTTTTTCCTGTACACATGCATAGAGGATTATGCTTTCATGCATCTATTATTCAATTTAGATTCGACTATGAGTGACAAGGAGATAAAAAAAAATAACGCCCTGTTGAAGTTGAAAGAATCCTTTAAAGTAATGGAAGAAGTCTTAAAGATTATCCTACTGTGCCTATTCCAATTTGAATTTTATTGTCTAATTTTTTTTTTCAATGAATCAAAATTTATTAAAAGGAGCATAAGGTGTACTCACCCTTGCAAGAAAAATGCAAAAACAAGGGTAGTAGTTTGGTGCCTAAGTGCCATAGGCACAAAGATTTAGAAACTAGCACCAATCACCAACACTAAACACTGCATATTTACTTTCCTTTAATCCAACAAAAAGTCTTAGCTTGAACTAGATCAAAAATATTGTTTTCTTCCCAAATCAGTTTATTGAATATGATATCATTTCTGAAATAATAGATTGTCCAAGTTGTGGTGAGAATAGAGAGTACCCAACAATTCCATGACTTCTTGGCATCCATAAATGAACAAAGCTTAGTAATCAGTGAAGGAGCATTTGCAATAGGGACAAAAGAAACCCCCCACTAGTAGCAAATTTGATTCCAAACATTCTGAGAACACCAGCAAGTGGCAAAGAGGTGGTTGAGGTCCTCCATACATTCTCCACAAAGGAAACAATTTGGGTTGGATGCAAGAAGTTGGTTTAAGAAGAGGCACGAAGTGAAGATACTGACTTTGGATGGCATGAATGGACTCCAAATAATCTTGTAGTAGCTTTTATTAAGACATGATAGGGAGATCTCAAGGAACATGTAGGCTTGTTATGCACATTATCCCACCAAGTTGTGTTTCCAAATAACTCGATCAGCTTTATCATATGGGATGAACACATTTTTTAGAATATTTTTGAACACCCCAAGCTCATCTAGTTCCCTACCAAAGGGAGGCCTATGCCATTGAAGAGCCCATCCATTTGAATTAGTTGGCTTTAAGTCTATGACTAACGAGTCCTAGCTTTGAGTGAGACTGAATAGGCGAGGGAAATTAGTCATGAGAGAAGAGTTCCCTAGCCAAACATTCTTCCAAAATCTAGTTTTTGAACCATCACCCAACTTTTGAATAAAACCATCAATAAAACATGTAAAAGCTCTCTCATCATCCCTACCAATAGAAAAGATATCTTTCCAAAAGAGAGACAGTCTTGAATAAACAATATTAGTAATAAAATTAGTAGGAGCACCTTAATAGTATCTACTGACAATGATTTTCTTCCATAACTTCCCATTTTCGTCATTATCGTAGAATTTACACCACCATTTCCCTAGAAGGGCAAAGTTCCTAAAGGCAAAGTTCCTAAGTGCAAGATTTGGTGTGCCAAGCTTGCCTTTTGATTTATCAAGGCATACCTTACTCCAATACTCCAAGCGTAGGCAAAGAGAACATGAGGGGCACAAGCCCCTTAAACTTTTTTAAAAAATATAATTTAATCCCTTAAGTTTTATTATTTTTTTATTTTTATCCTCACTTATTTCATACCATTTTAATCATTTTCTTGCATGTGTTGTTAAAGATTACTTTTAATGGCAAAGAAAAAGATGACGAAAATAAAGCTAATATGAAATATTGGGAAAAATAAAAATTAATTGAATAAAAATTATTTATTATTATTTTTTGTAAAATATTTGTTCCTTAATATCTTTACTTCTTCTTCCTTTCTTAATGGTATATTTTTTTTTAATATTTATTTACTTTTATTTTTTAGTTATTGCGTTTATACTACTTTATCAACTATTATTAATATATTGTTAAGGACTAACAAATTTTATTTAAAATATTTTTTTTATTTTTTAAATTGACATGCAAATTCTTTTTATTTTTTTTTTGGTTAAAATTTTATTTGACCGCTAAAAATTTTTGCTACCTCTACCACTAAATGTTAGTAAATGACATTTTAAAAAATAAACAATTTTAAATGTTTCAAATTAAAAATTAAAATCAAAACCCTTAAATCCACCATTCAAATAAGAGAATAGAGATAAATCTATCCCAAAAAAATACAAAGACAAATTACCTTTTCGAATTATTGATTAAGATAAATTATTCATTATTTAACATGTGACGTCATCACATGTCAATTTTCCACTAAAAAAATACTTCAATGGCAAGTAAATTTTTAACATGTAATGATGTCATATGTTAAACAATAGATAATTTGCACTGATTAATAATTTAAAAATAAAATTTTGTTCATTTCTTTCTATTTGAGGGACAAATTTAGGAGTTATGTCAAAACTAAATTGAATGAATGTAGAGAGAATTTGTTATTTTAGGGGAGAAAGTGGTAATTTAAAAGTCCAAATCGAACTGCTATCGAAATGGAAGCAGCATGAACGATGGGGAAGGTTCCGAGAAGACGGTGAAGGATGTTTGGCCTTTTTGAAAAATCCGCCTCACCCTTTTAGTTGATTTTTGTCTCTTTCAGAATTTCTTAATGCAAGCGTAGGTTAGTTTAAGGGTTTAATTATTTAGTTTGGCTTAGGTGTAATTTATTTGTTAGTAGCCATTATCACTCTGCTTTTGCGTGTTACATTTGGAGGCAGGCGTTAGTTCTGTTTTGGTAGATTAAGAGCATGTTTTGTTTGCGCGTAATATACGGAAGAAAGGAGAGAGAGAGAGAAAACTTATTTCTTAGCCCTCTTTTTAATTTGATTAAAAAATTAAAAAATAAATGGTATACATTTAGTTTAGTATACCTTTCACGCTTGTTCAATTCAATTATTAAAAATATAATATATATATAATTGATTCAGTTGGTTCTTGGATCATATATGCATTATTGTATCTTTAAGTTTTTTTACTTTTAATTTCAGATAAAAAAATAATTTTTTAATAAATTTGTTATTTAATACATTGAATAAAGTTTGTAATAATTAATGTCATAAAATTAATTCCTCCTCTTTTCAATTCCCTTCAACCAAACATGCCTAGTCTTTAATTTAAGAATTGTTTTTCTTATTGTATGTTTAAATTGAGGAGAATTGAGGGGACGGGAAGGAAAAAAATTTTATATTTAGATATCAAAAAAATTGGCGGGGATGGGAGGAAAATCTTTCTTTACTTTATTTTTTTAATTTAATTATTTATCTAAATAAAGAGAAATGAGGGGAGGGGAATGGAAAGGAATAGAAAGATATAATTCCCCTCTCCTTCATTCTTCTCTCTCCATTTACATTAACTCAAACATATGATTAATTATGAAATTGTAATTTCTTATCAAAAATACTAAGAATAATATCTCTAACACTTTTCTTTAAACACTCTCTATACAATTGCAATACATTTAATATAATTAATAATAACTTCAAATTTATACATCACGTATTCTATCACATAAAAAGAATTTAAAAAAGAGC